AGTCCAAAAATAAATAAATAAATAAAACAATGACATGGTGCAAATAACTGATTAAGAGTATATTAAAATATATGATTCCAGCAACCTCTTTTTGTGAAGGCATACTATGCTGAAAAGCAAAACTAAACCACAAAAATGTATGGGCATGTTATATTACTACCTAGGACATACATATTGGTCCCAAAGACCTCAGACTGCTATGTGAACATATAAGCTTTGTCCAGTCATTAAGTGGGCTAAGCTTGCAAGGAAGGTGAGAATGCTACCCATGCTCTTTCCAATGTTCCATTGTGCCAATGAACTGTCAGTTTGAAGAGGCTCCCCACATGAGCCCAAACACAAGGAAATCAAAGTTCTGGGTTGTGTGGGCCACTATCATAGATGGATGAGTCCCTCCTTCTTCAGATTCTAGGTAAAGGTTCCCCTTGACAATTGTCCAGTCGTGTCCGACTCTAGGGGACAGTGCTCATCCCCGCTTCCAAGCCGTAGAGTCAATGACTCTAGGGGACAGTGCTCATCCCCGCTTTCAAGCCGTAGAGTCAGCGTTTGTCTGGATACAGTTTCCATGGTCACATGGCCAGTGTGACTAGACATGGAATGCCCTTGTCTTCCCACCGTGGTGGTACCTATTTATCTACTTGCAGTTGCATGCTTTCGAACTGCTAGGTTGGTGGGAGCTGGGACAAGCGACAGTAGTTCCATCCATCGTGTGGATTCAATCTTACAACTGCTGGTCTTCCGACCTTGCAGCACAGAGGCTTCTGCAGCTTAACCCGCAGCACCACCATGTCCCATCTTCAGACTCTAGCCTCATATAAATAAAAAGATAACAGAGGGTCTGGGGTTAGCTTCCCCTCCTCCTTTGTGCTTAGACCACTCAAATACGGTGCAAATGAATAAAGCTATTCATGAATACCACTCATTACTAGCACCTACAGAGTTTCTGCACATCTTCAGAAGTGAAATAGTGTCTACTTACATCATAACTATGTACATGCTTTCTCAGTAGAAAGTCCCATGGAGTTTAATGGGGCTTATCCCCAAGTATGTACATAGAACTGCAGGCATACAAGCTCTTTAAAAAAAAACTTACACGGCATTCTCTGCAGTTCTTTGTGAAAATCTTCTGACCTTCTGCCAACACTTTTCCTCCATAGATGCATTTGGCTAGAATTTGAAAAATAAATAAAGATATTAGCATTTAGTCGTAAGTGCATATAAATTATACAGTTCAGTAAAAACAACATTGCCTAAGTAAATATAGATATACTGTTGTAAATATGATGTAGTCATTTCGATTTCAGTAGCAGTCAGTGTTAATTGCTCTCATTTATTTTGACTGCAATAGTAAATTCGTTACAAAAACTATTATCTTCAAGCATTTCTCTGCACAAAGTGACAAACTAGGCTACTTAGTGACCTGAAATAATAGAAGAAGCAGAACAGATATTGAACTCAATTCATTAACAGATTACTCATGGCAGTGATGTTCTGTAGATCAGCAAAAAGTATTAAAGTCAAGCCTGTATGGCCTACTCAAAGTGTTGAAAAATTAGATGGACAGAGCAATGAATCACAACGTAGATATTCTAATGAAGCCTACAGTATCAAGACGGGTGAAAACAGAAACATTCCCTTGTGTCCCTTATGAGAGTATCTCAGAGAGACACAACTACCACAACTAAATAAATCACTGTCACATAGACTGAGTTAAGAAACAAATGGAAAAATCAAATACAACGATACACCCTGAAGAAGATCTGTGTCTTCAAGAGCACTATCTTATAAGCTATCACATTCTGTTAATTTTAATAAGGCTTACTCCTCATGAAGTGGGTTTAGGATTGCAGCATAGATCAGCCATTCTCAATGGGGCCCATATGGCCCCCCAAGGGGCCCTGGAACATTTGAAGGGGAACACAGATTGGAAACAATTCTTCACACACCACCTTATAGGGTTCATTGTGCGCCTTATACAATTCTGATTTGGCCTATATTTCTTTCATATTGTGTTTATGACTGTGGCCAAAAAAGGGTTGAGGATAATTGGTCTAGGTTACAATTTGAGACAGAGCTCAGAGAAGTTACTTTTTGGGGCAAAAACTCCCAGAATCCATAGCCAACATAGCCCATGCTTGCTGAAAGGCTTGGAGCAAGGGAACTTTTAAATTGGTGGATCTGATTTTGTTTTTTTTTCTTGTTGTTGTTGACTTCTGAACACCAAATAATTGCAATTAGCAATACGAATTTGCACATGTTTTACTCCTTACATCATTTTAACTGCAGAAAGCCAAGGTAATCCCCATAAATACTTACCCAGGGTGGCAATTTGTAGCCCAGCAATGAGGGACACTGTCAGCCTGCCTCCATCTTTGGACGCCTTCTTCCTAGGCTCTTATGTATCAAGGAAGGGTTCCAGAACAAGCCCTGCTGGCTATCCAGTCTCAATGGACGGTGATGCTTTGCAGTGGAGCTCCCAGCCCTGTCTGGCTGGGGGATTAAATGGAGCCCCATGACCGTTCTGGCAGTCACCATGTGGACTTGTCCCACCCAAACAACCTAATTTTGTTATAGTTTTATCTAAATGAATAGGTAGTATGGTGTTAATAATATATCATAATTTTGTTTTGGACAGTTGGAGTCAAGGGAACTTTCCTCACCATAGTGAATTCACACCCAGGCGTGTGATTAGAACTCCATAGTTACCCAGCAATGTGCTGGGTTGGTGGATATCAGATGACAGGCTAGTCACACAATACATAGATCTGCTCCTTATGCTGTACCAGTGCTATCCTACTGCAGCCAATACACGCAGTGGCCTTTTTATATACATTACCGCTACGGGGGTGCTTCTGAATTTTCTCACCTGGAACACTCACATACAACTAGGTTTACAGCAGTCTAGTACACCTTTTTGTACCACCACATGCCTTTTGATTCATACTAGATTTCCACATATACAAAGAAATATATTTTTTTGTACCAGTGCTATCCTACTGCAGCCAATACACGCAGTGGCCTTTTTATATACATTACCGCTACGGGGGTGCTTCTGAATTTTCTCACCTGGAACACTCACATACAACTAGGTTTACAGCAGTCTAGTACACCTTTTTGTACCACCACATGCCTTTTGATTCATACTAGATTTCCACATATACAAAGAAATATATTTTTTCCCCTTGACAATTTTTGTCCAGTCGTGTTCGACTCTAGGGGGCGGTGCTCATCCCCGTTTCCAAGCCATAGAGCCAGCGTTTTTGTCCGAAGACAATCTTCCGTGGTCACATGGCCAGTGCGACTTAGACACGGAACGCTGTTACCTTCCCACTGAGGTGGTCCCTATTTATCTACTTGCATTTGCATGCTTTCAAACCGCTAGGTTGGCGGGAGCTGGGACAAACGACGGGCGCTCACTCCGTCGCGTGGATTCGATCTTACGACTGCTTGGTCTTCTGACCTTGCAGCACAGGCTTCTGCGGTTTAGCCCGCAGCGCCACCACGTCCCCACATATACAAAGAAATATATTTTTAAAAAAGGCATTCAAATGAAGGCATGTTTCTCAGTTTCTAGACATGTGTATGGAATGTCTAAAGAGGCCTCTGTTTTTTCAAGAAAGTATACTATATAAACTGTTCTAAAACTAACCAAAAATTAATTCCATTATATACCTCCATGAGATATGCCAGATTTTTTTCTCTCTCTCAATCATAAAATACTATTGTTTAACTAGACAAACGACGGGCGCTCACTCCGTCGCGTGGATTCGATCTTACGACTGCTTGGTCTTCTGACCTTGCAGCACAGGCTTCTGCGGTTTAGCCCGCAGCGCCACCACGTCCCCACATATACAAAGAAATATATTTTTAAAAAAGGCATTCAAATGAAGGCATGTTTCTCAGTTTCTAGACATGTGTATGGAATGTCTAAAGAGGCCTCTGTTTTTTCAAGAAAGTATACTATATAAACTGTTCTAAAACTAACCAAAAATTAATTCCATTATATACCTCCATGAGATATGCCAGATTTTTCTCTCTCTCTCAATCATATTGTTTAACTCTTCTATAGAATTCTAAGCCACCAATATGCCATTTGGATTATGTTGCTACACATGTTGTTTGATTCTTTTCCCCTCCCAAGGACTTACAATAATACAACATTTATATCCAGAATTTTTATACAGAGCTAGTGACCCACAGATACTGCCTCCTCTTGTTCTTCCAGCAGTGATACCACTCCTGTCAGTATATTTATAGTTTCTGCCAAACAAGAGCAGGAAAGAGGTTTTGCCTTCTGATCTCTATTTTGATGGGATAGCACTGACACTTGAGGCAAAAAAATATAGATAAATGCAATGTGACTAGACTACAAATCCATGCACAAAATGACTAGCCCACGGTTCTTAAAAAGACTTGCAGTCTCTTTTGAGGTTATTGGTTCCTGCAACAGAAATCATTGCTGGCAACAGAGTGGATATTGGATGCAATGCTTAACTCTATGTTTGGCTAGAACAACAAAAGAAATTGGCTTGGGTTTTCTTATTTCACTAGATAGGTATCTGACAGGATGCCCTATACTTTGAATTAATAAAGTCAGAGAAATTAATTCCCCCAGGTTCAGTCATTTGTATAGCTAAACTGGGTGTTTTATATATCCAAAAGTTGCTGCCAACAACACTGTGTAACAAAACTTGTTCATCGCTTCCCACATGCTCCTGTGTCACTAAAAGCCATCATAATTTTTTTTTAAAAAAAAATGTATTTAACCTCGGTACAAAAGAGTACCAAAGAACATGACATTTTCAGTTATTTTAGCACATTTCTCCTTCAGGAATTTCAAGTGCTACAGAAAGTGTCTTGCTTGAAATAGCTTTCTCCTTATAATACATATTCAAGCTTCCTTGTATTAACACACTGGTTTCTATAATGTATTGGGCTCACCCCACACCCTTCTTATATTATAGTCTTCTAGATGTCTTCCACGCTCTTGCAAGATAGTTGGATATTGATTTTCTTTTAGATATTTATTAAATTTTCCACTTTTTTGTATACATTCTGTTCCAAACTACTGTAATGTCAGCTTGTGCAAGTGTGTGTGGAAATCAATGCAAGACTTGAAAAAGACACTCTGCCACAGGGGGGAAAACAAGGTGACTGCTATACCATCATGCACAGCTCGTGTCACTTTTCCAAAGACACTGGCTACAGGACAGCTGCAAAACAATTATCCTCATCACGGTTTCTACCTTACTAGAAAATAAAGATGAGGACAAGAATGTGGCTAAAGAGTCATTTTTTTATTATTCTGCTAATGTAGTAGTGATGTTTTTATCATGTGCTTTTCCCCCTAACAGGTTCAAGGCAGAATAGACAGCTCTTCTTCCCACTCTACCCTTATAACAACCCAGGGAAACAGGTCAAGCATAGCCATATAGCAAGCTTATTGGCTCACTAGGGACTTGGACTTCCATCTCCCAAGAGCCAGACCAACACTTTCTACTATTACACTACACTAGCCTTCAGCTCAAGAACAACACTAGATAGGTAACACAAGCCAGTGAGGCCTCCAGAAGAATGCCAAAAGATGGCAACATACAAAGAGATATCTGTGCAAACGCTGAACTCAAGATAATGATGTGCAAAAAAGAGGCTTGAACAGCTGATCCCTGATGTTTGTGGAAAGCATAGTCTGGAGTCTGCATCTTTTTCCAACAATAAAGGAGCAGTGGGACATTGCCCACACCATTGCATCACATTTTCCCTTGCAGCTCCTACAGTGGCCATCTAGCAAAACGAAATCATAACTACCACCATTTTTAATTCTCCATACCATAAAGATGTTGCAAAACACACACACACACACACACACACACGCACACACACACACACACACACACACACATTTCAAATCTCATTTCAAAGAGATTCACTGGTTACTCTAACTTGAGCTTTGGATTCAACTCAGCATGTCAAACCTGTAAAATCTCATCTAGTCTATTCTTTCATGGTGGCTATGTATTCCAGTTATCCTTTGTAGCATTCGTTGTTATTAGTAGTTCTAATTTGGTTTTAGGCCTAAGAACAGGCAGAGAAACTTGCTGAAACTTTGCACTTAGCTTCTGAAAAAAATAAAAAAATTACACCACAGTAGAGTGTGACAACAACAT